TACGCGTAGGTATAACATTGGTTACCAGCGGCTTCTCCCCGTTCTTTTCTTCCGTCCCCTCCTTGACCTCATTACAACCCCCAACAACACAAGCATCAACGAAGGGGATAGTTTAAAACTATGAAGCTGTTCAAGCACTTCCGCTCCAAGGGGAAGAGCAAAAGCGTCGACCACTACGGTTATGAGCAACATGAGAAGTACAACAACCGTAACTACAATCGTCAAAACCCTCAGTACTCCAGCTACCGCTCTGGTCCCTCCAGAGACTTCACTCAAAACCTTCCCCTCGAGGTCCTCTCCAGGATATTTTCCTATGTTTGCCTTCATGTTCTAGACGATACTTATAACTCCTCTGAAGAGTCCATGACAGAAGATGGTTGCATGCTCTGTGACATGCGGGACCTTGCCCACTGTGCGTTGGTGTGTAGGAAATGGTATTCTCCCGCCCATAAGCTCTTGTATGTGCTTACTACCCCCCCCCCCCCCCAAACCATTTTGGGTTTCCTCCCCCTATCTATACATCTATACCAATATATATAAAACGCATTCTATATATATACAGCACGGTACTAATTATCCCTGAAACGGTGCTGTAGATATCAGAATGTTCGTATCGATGCGGTTCATTACTGTGATCTCGAGTATGAATTATCAGCCAAGCGAAAGAAAAACTCGTTCCTCGACCACAATTCAGTACCACTGGATGCGCCCATGACACGGTTGACACTCTTCAGCAGGACGGTGCGTGAATCCCAGCGCATCGGGAAACTGGTTTTCTCGTTACGGATGCCCTACATGACTCGAGAAGCTGGTAAGCTATTGCTGGCTCAGACGGTATTAATGCTACCTAACCTACGATATGTGGACTTGCCCGCGGGCGTTTTCTGCGATGATGAGTCGACGATGATCCTCAAGCAGACCTTGATCGCCCGGTGCCCGGATATTCGGCGGATGAAGTATTCCAGGGGCTCAGAGAAAACCTTCAGTGCAGTTCAGCAAGAAGATGAGATAGATGCTGTGGATCAGTTTATGCAAGGTCGCCAACTGCATCAACCAGCCCGGCCACAGATCAAGGTCTGGCAAAACCTCGAAGTGTTAGAGCTATGTGGCCTGAGCTCGTCTATTGACATACTTCGCCGCGTCCTGGTTCAATTCCCACGCTTAACGGATTTGAAGCTGGAGGATTTAAACGAGATAGAACCCGTCCTATTCAAGAATTCTCCCTCTTTAAGCCCTTTTCCCCCCATTGAGCGCCTCACACTAAACAATACTCCGGGAGTCACCGACCGCACATTCATGGACTACTTCAGCACCAACCGCAACAAACGTGCTCTCAAACACCTCACCCTTTCCAACACCGGTATCACCCCGGGCGCCCTCCACCACATCCTCAATAACTCCCCTAAAATCCATAGCCTCTCCGTCACCCAATACATCTCCGAAGGCTTTGTCCAGGACAACGTCCCACTACTCGCCTCCCACGCTCTCTGCCTCCTCCACTACGAAATCACCGCAAGGACCGAACACCACGCCGCCTACTACTACAAGTACCTCATGTCCTCCCTCCTCTCCGGCTCTCTCCCAAGCCTCGTAGACCTCTATGTTCGCGACGCCAAGTTTCCGGAAATGCTCATGTATGCCTCCCTCCCACAGCTCGGTGGCTCCCGCGGCGGTGCCAGTGGCAGCCCGGCCGGCCTCAACCAGGCCCTGTCTGTATACAGCAAGGGTGCCAAAGAGGCGGAATGGAACTTCACAGCGTACGAGCCTCTCGATGTTCCAGGTGCGGGCGTTGGTGGTCGACGGCGGGGCAGCTCGTCACGCCCTGTGAGTTTCCATGGTGCACAGCTCAGTCCGGCATGGGGCGACGAGGCGCGTAGGAGCGTGTTGGTTGGGAATGGGGTTGGTGGGTTCCTAGCGATTCCTGGCGAAGAGGAAAGGCCGAAGAGTAGTGGCGGCGCGTGGATGCGTCATCACCATCGGCGGGAGGGGAGTAAGGGGGATCTCTGGAGGTAATTGCCCCAGGGAAGTTGGGCTGAGGTGGATTGGCTCTTATGTTTCAGATTTCTATTCCTTATTTATTCTTCTTCTCCTTTTTTTTTTTTTTTTTTCACTTTAAGTTGGATTACGGCTTATCGGGGCGAAATTGAATTATATTGATTAACTTTAAACTTTGGCCTAAGGCAGGAAGGAGGTTACCCTTCAGAGGAACTAGGATTTCTTTTTTCTTTTGCATTTTATATTCCCCTCCGTTTTCATACTGTCGACTTTTATCTCTTCATCTCGGGACC